CAGCAAGGATGTCCAATTAAATCAAGAAAATTCGGGCAGTAACAGCAAGAAAATTGGTGTAAGTTGCGGTAACAGAATTCTCGTCAAAAAATTTCAGCAACTTACGATGAAAATTTGCAGTAATATAGGAACGAAATTTTTTTTTTTTTTTTTTTGGATTTTCGAATAGGGATAACTAAATTGCAGCAGCAGTAAGGTAGGAAACCAGAACTTGTTGCAATTCACGGGGAGATCAAAGGATGATCTGTGGTGGTGGAGATGACGGTGGAATTTGGCGACGATCTTTTAAGCAATTGTGGGAATTGCTTTGGGCGGTTGTGGAGGGTTGATGGATGGCTGTGGAAGGGCAGCGAGATGCCAAGAACGCTGCTCTGATACCAGGTGATAGAACCCTTGCAGATTCTAAACTTGGGGTTGATCTCTTTAGGGGATCGGCCTCCTTGGAACTCTATAGGGGTTCCTCCCTCCAAGTTGCTGCTCAAAGGCTTCAGAAAAGATTCATCTATTGCTTATGAAAAGAGGTGGAATACATGACTATTTATAGGGCTTCTAAACCCTAACTCCTAATAGGACTCCTACTCAAGACTCCTACTTCTAACCAACTCCTAATATGACTCATACTCAAGACTCCTATTCCTTTACAACTCCTTATTTTTCTCTAAGAAACAACCTCCTCATGAATGTCCCTCTCAATTAGGACTCTCCTAGCTAGAGTCCTAACAGAATGTCCCTCTCAATTAGGACTCTCCCAGCTAGAGTCCTAACACAACTCCAAACATGTCAAAATGTAGTGAAGTTTAGTCCTTTTATTTTTCAAAAGACCTCCTTAATTTTGATGTCATTAATTTCTATAAGGACCAGAGAAAATGCTGTTAAGAAATAAATTTACTCCATATCATAGAATACCTTTTCAGCTTTGGAAGAATCAAATGCTGTCTTTGCCTCAATACGTGCTTCATAATCTTTCATAAGTGTCATAGCCTCGGGTGTGCATAGAACTGGTGAAGTCTCAAGCTCCCATGTAGCATCCTCATAACCAAGACCTTTCCATTTCACAAACCACTCATGGTAGCATTTTGGAAAGCTATTAGCAAGCCCATTAAAAAGGTCATCAGTCAGCTTTTGAGGCATCAGCAATCTTTTTAGCAATAGCCGATGAGGCTCGGCCCACTCCTGCTTCCATTTTATAGCCTAATAAGCATTGAGTTAAATCAAGAATGATACCAGCAAACATATTCACCTTACATTGAACAAGGTAAGAAAAAATAAATTGTAAGTAACCAACCCTCTCTTTGTAATATTTCCTTTTGAATTTAGACAAAAGTGTAGGAGCTTCCTGAAGCATCTGGGTTTCTGAAATCCATTGATTATGGATATGAGCAAGACCTTTATACTTGACAAAGTAATGCTTGCCATTCTGCAATTCTAGACCATGAGCACCCATGAAAAAGATGAGTTTCATAATTAGCAACCTAGAAAAAGACAAGGATACCAAGCTCAATTAGCATAAAGATTGTTGATCATCTCACCTTCTTTAAAGTTCCAAATGGAATCTATTCCTTCAGATATGGAGTGTACACCAATCTCTATTTTCTTTTTTATGCAAAAAATGCATAGCCAAGCACCAGGATAATTTTGCAGGGGTGGATCAAGACAAGAAAGATGATAGCTTCTGTTGCAACCTTTCCCATCACAAGACCTAAGATTACAGAGAAATTTTACCAAAATTAAATGAGGAAAACTAATTAGCCATCACACTTGTCGACGGCTACAGAGGAAAATTTTAACATCAAAATATTTCTTATCAGACATCTTGAGCATGCATATGCGCACACACACTTTAAACTAATCATTGCCAATATAAAGGTTAATAAAGGCCATATTTTAATTAGCTATTTGTAAGCTAGAAAGCATCAATTTGCACCATAATCAAATTTTAATAGAAAATCCTGGTAACTTACAGTTCTGTTTCTGGGTGTTTGCAGACAACACATGCATTGGCACCACCATCTGTCTTAATTTCAAACAAGGACTTTCTCAAATGAGTTGAATTATCATGTTCTTTTGAAATATCCATGAGATTACAGTCCACTGGTCTGGCCCCAATCTAATGTAACAATATAAAGAGAAAATTAGACAATAAGCATGAAGCTGATAGCCTAATAGAACATATTATCAAGTATAACTATCAAAAATAAACAGAGAACCAAAAAGAACCTAAATAGAGAATAAAAAAAATACCTCCCGACTTTCCATGAGCATGTTTAGACTTACTGTACAGGCTGAAGCTACAAAACAATTTGACCTATTAAAAAAAAATTAGGAGACTTAGAGATGCATATGATGCATCCGCTTTCACGAAAAACATTTATCAAAGTTATATATTAATTGAAAATTCATGATATTTGTAGAAAAACAAAGCATAGGTATGAATACTTCTCTGCTCCAGCCAGTCCACTTTCAGCTTCTGACAAAGAGTTTCCTTTACATTTATCTTCTTGCAAACAAATAGCAGCATTGCCATGTTTATCTGGAGCAACTTTATGATGAGCTTCCTAGAGAAAGAAGTGAACTTTATAAGAAACAACTGGCCATTGATAGACAACATGTGATGCGGTGATTTAATAAACTTTCATAATATGAATATATGATTTTGGGTTCAATACATATATAAAATAAGTCATAATATCAGCAGAGACACATGCCAGGCATCCCCTTCTGTATGCTACAGGATTGAGTCATCAATACAAACCACAGGAGTACCAAATCCAAACATTACTCGCACAGAGAATACTGGTAAATATGAGAAAACCTCAACAAAAAATGTGAATGCATAAAATATGGAGTTAGAAGAACAATAGTGAGACGAATAAGAGAGACAATGGAAGAAATATAAAAGAATTAAGAAGAAAAAAGCAGGGCTAATGTGACCACTAGAAGAGACCTTTTACGTATCAAAATCCACATTACAACCTCAAAAAGCGACTACCAGTTTTTTCATAGACTGCAAGTTGATAGCTAAAACCTTGAGATCAGAAGATAATCAATCAAATCAAGATATGTTAAAGCAGATTATATTCTCTGAGTAGGATGCTAATTCAGAGCCAATTAAGGTCCTACTTTAAGTCCATCGAGCGAGGAGATTCCAAGACTGAACCCTACCGAACTCCACCCAGCCTTGCAAAACTATGTTGAGGGTGTTCCCAACAAAGACCCTCTGATGTTTAACTTAGCCTTTGATTCGATGAGTTTGGCTAATGTCGAATCTATGTGTAATATACTAGGAGAGAGAGAACCCTCATGAAAATGTACCTGAGGGGCTTTTTATAGTGAAGTTTTAGGACCAATGTGTTTTGAGTCCAAAGTTCAATGCCAGGAACGGTTACGTGTTTCCTCTAGCACAGATGTGATCGCATAGCTTAGAATCCAAAAAACGTGGGGCAACGGTTCGCTGAGTCAGCTTCTTGCATAGCTAACTCCACAAGATTGAATGGTTGCTACGTCATCCAAATGACGATGAGGTGTGACACGTGGATAAGGTGTCAGACACATGTCCAGGAGGCATCGACCATGTGGCGGTGAGGTGTTGACAGCCTTCCACGTGTCATTATATCCATATTAAGATCATATCAAATAAAAACATGTTATCATACTATATTAAATCCTAAAACTACAAATATGCATATTAATCTTTTTATTTAAGATCATTTTTATCAAAAACTATCTCAACCAAACTCTCCAAAATCAAAGCACACTTAATAACTCATTCAACCAAGAACCCTAAATTATGAATAATGTTACTTAACTAATGTAAAATCTAATCAATTGTATTAGACTTTGAAAAGAACTAAATAAGAACGAAAATCATAACAAAAGAACTACTAGATCCCAATGGCTCAATCCTACAAATATAACTAACCTCAACCTAAAGTGCAGCCCAAATGGACTCTTCCTCTTAATTTCATGTCCTTGTAGCTATTTGTTATTAGGGTGTCTTGAATCCTATATTTGATCTTCAAGATTCAACAGAAAAATCCAAGTTGTAATCCTCAAACAACATGATGGTTTAAGAGGCTTTTCTCATTAGCACAAAACTCTAGTCAAGGTTTTCCTTTCACTAGAACATCACAGGCTGACACATGCCAACACGATACCGTGTGGTTATCATGGAACAGCACAACCAGCAGATTAAACCACAGGTCCCTATGTCGTTCATCACAAACCAAGTACAAAGTAACATACTGCATATTCACTTCAAATCAGTACTTCTTGGTTCAGGCAAAGGTCAATCTAGCCCTTTTTGGTCAGTCCAAGGTTACCGTCCGATAACCTTAGTGAATTAGGCTTACCACAAAATTATGACCCGTTACCAAGCCTATACAGGACTGTAACCCCACCCAGTGGTTACCCAAGCCAAGAGACCCATTAGGGTCTCTTTAAATGCTTTAAAGAGGCATGCTTTGCCTTCTTTCTCACTCCAGTTTCATTCAGATCTCTCATGCCTCCTGCAAATGTCTGCCAAAATCACTCAAGTCATCAAGAGGACGCCTAATTTCACAAGTTTGAAGTTGAAGAAACGGTCCAGAAAGCATCGTGGCTGAAAGAAAAGGCACAACGGGAGGAATTTGACAAGAGTGCTATAGAGCCCCAACCTAATATTCATGCAAGGATCACAGCAATGATGTCAACACTAACACCAATCTGATAGTCGAGGGTTTTCCATCATTGGTGCATCACTGTATGCACAAGGAGATGACGGAAAGACATGAGCCAACCAATTCACAGGATGAGCATGGCAGTGAAAACAACAGTGGATCATTGGTGCAAGGATCACAGCAATGATGTCAACACTAACACCAATCTGATAGTCGAGAGTTGTCCATCATTGGTGCATCACTGTATGCACGAGGAGATGACGGAAAGACATGAGCCAACCAATTCACAGGATGAGCATGTCAGTGAAAACAACAGTGGATTGACTCAATTTAATTGATCTTCCACATTGAGGCAGACCATTACTACCAGTACATAGGGGTTGGGCAGGAGTGGTAACATGAGAGAATCAAGTGTCCCTCCTCAATTGGACAAGATAGGCAGTATGAGGCAGTCCAGTTTTATGGAGGTGAACTGATACGAGCAACAACTTCCTCCGTAAAAACAATATCGGGTTTTAAGCAGTCAATCTTTTAGGGGTTCTAGTATGACACAACAGGGTGAGATATTCAACCATTATGGCAAATGGAAATGGTTATCCACTTGGTGCAATTGATAAGCCACAAGTCCAGTTGGATGATAGGACACCACTCTCACAGTCTATGTTTGGTGAGGCCCGCAGAGATAGTAGAGACATAAACAGCAATAAGTCCACCAATGTTGCTGGCCAGGGCCAGTCTCATGTTTCTGCTACTGAAACCCAGACAGGTGAGGCATAGATCGAAGAGCAATATTTCAATCATGCTACTTAGGATACTGATCAATGAACATGTAAATCCACAAGGCTTATTTATTGCTACAAAGATAAGGAAAGGAGAAGGAAAATGATTATGAGAAAATGAGGCAGAGCCTATATATTGTCTTAGACCAATACGAGTTTATTGTATCAGTCTTCCTACATCCCAGGATCTCATGGCCAACAGATTTATGGTGATAGTCATTTTTCCATGACTCAGATGCATCTTATGGTACACACCAGCAGTACAGTGACAAAAGCCATAGCTCTGGTGCAGTGTATCCTATAGGATAGTAGTTGCAATGGCCCTAGACTTGACTCGAACCCAAGAAAAATCCAATCTGAATTTTAATATTGATCATTGTTGCATCATGAATGCAGGATATAATCAACTACAAATTCTCATCAAACTGAATCCTTTGACTAACTTTAAATGGAAAATTTTAAAGCAAGCATTATTCAGATGTCAGCATATGTTATACATGATAATTGATATGTTATGCTCTTCTTGCTTACTACAGGAACTATCTCTCTGCTTCTAAAAGCAGCAGATCCTACTTCAATAGAGCATTACAAGTTTACAACAAAACTATATCAGCGGTAAGCTCCTATAATAAGAACACCGGGTGTACAAATTTCTATTCATCACACAAATATGTCTCCCCAGATGACCTGGGAGATACTTCTTAATGTGGCACACAGAATTATCAACAGTTAAACACTATGAAAAATCATCATTACGAAACAAAACAACAAATGCAGTCTACTGTCTCATCTATGGCGGCTTATATGGTTCTAGATTTTCAGCCCCCAGTAGAGGGAGACAGCAGGCATAGCTGTCCAATCAATGGAATAGATTATCATGTTGTTTGACCATCACAGAGACAAAACTGGAGCTATCAGTCCAAACATATTCAACAGGATTGAATAACCTGGGTTGTGCTGGTAGGAGGAACCTGATTCCAAATAGACCGACCAGCTTGCTATTAACTTAAGCAAAGATAACTGATTTGTTTCTTAGTAATAAACCTTTTTTCTGCCAAAGAAAGCAACTGCCTTTGACCTTACCATATGAAGCCACTTCTTGCCACCAAAGTGGACTAGGAAGAAGCCAGATGCCACATGAGAGCACACATTGGAGATATGTGTTTTTATCTTTTACACCACCCACCCTCGCCCCCAACCAACAACAATATATAAATAAAAACACCCTCTCCTTGCTGTTTTTTTCAGTTCCAACGGCACACTCCATCGGTGTCTTGTCAGGCATAGCATGGCACAGCATGCCAGTACATGCCTTTCTGGCAACTTGATGCATCGACTGACCGTGGTTTAAAATACTGGTTACTCTGATATATACCAACAAATGTTTACTAGGCCAACCAAGCACCAGTCTCAGGACATAAAGCACCGTTTTACTTTGTATATCATTCATTTCCATTTCCATTTCCTTTTCTTTTCTAAAGGATATCAGGTGCTACAATCTAGAGTACCGCTCAGTATCTTGATACAGTCTCAATCCAACAGATTGTCAAAACAGGTCCCAGATTGGTGATTAAAACCATGCACAGGTATTGCCAAATTTAGAACAATGGTCAACTGTACTCAGCAGATAACTTTATAATGGACCATGTTGCCATAATCAACTAGGAACCAAATTACTCTGTCACACCTTATTGGCGAGTATCTTAGCCAAAAATGTGAAACCAGAACCCAATTGCAACAGTAAATTGAATTTCATCAAAAAACCACATTGAAGACCAAAGAATTGTAAGCAAGACAGTAATGACAGATGTCAAACCTCAGAGGGAAAAAAATCATTATTTATAACAATAAATATATATATATATATTAAATTAAAGGACAACATAAACACAAACAAAGAAATAGAGCAAAATGGATCAAGCCTCAGACAATTCGAGGGATAAATCATGGATCAAACCAAATATATCTTTTAAATCAAAGGACAACATAAACACAAACAAAGAAATAGAGCAGAATGGATCAAACCTCAGACAATTCGAGGGATAAATCATGGCTTCTGGCAATATATGAACATTGCTCCTTAACTTGCATATCCTGAACCCTGCACAAAGTTTGCAATAAATTTATCAACAAATTATACAATAACTGATATTGATATAATCAAAATACATAAAACTAAAAAGGAATCTTAGAAAGCGATTCCTTCTTTCTAGATTTTGACAAATAATGTCATCAGAACTCATAATTAACAAAATTAAACATCCATTTTCAAAGACATCAAAGAAAATTCTGAAGAACACAAAAAGGGGTATCAAGAACCAAGGCTCATACTATGCTCCTAGAGCTTGTACAGCTGGTTATCTGGCGATGCAGGAATGGACAAGAATATAAGTTGCACATGTCACGCATGGGGATGATAGGCAAGTTTCTTACTGCAACACCAGTAGGCCCAGGACAAAATAGCTGAAAGGAAGAAGAATGTACTGATTATTATGTCAGCGTGCAACATTCAGCTGATGTCTCAGACTGTCAGTCATGAAACTACTAATTTGTTGGTGATGTCCATAGCAGTGCTACAAATGGCAGCATGTATCTCACACATGAAGTATTAGATAGTACAGAGACCTATTTTGTCCTAGTGCATTGTCAGACATAAGTGTCTGCTTGGTGTACCAAGCCACTGCAAGGCATTTTCAATAAGCCACACATGGGCCTTGCCACATGCAAACACAAGCCAACCAACTATGTCATGTTCAGATTAAAACGAAAAGAAAAGCTTTAAAAAGTTGTTATGGACCACCAAGATCTAGTTAGTAATTAAGACTCAACCATATTGTTGAGGTTGTTAAAAGATTTAGTAGCTGAATCATTGCACCAGCCACATATTTATCATACAGAACTGTGTATGAAGATTCAGCAATCACAAGCATTTGGATATTTGACCACCCAAAAAATAATATTTCTGCAGTGCAACTACGAGTTTCTAGCTCAAAACCAAATTCAGTTGTATTTAGCTGGATCAAATATTACACAGGAAATGATAATTTTATTTTTCTAAATTGTCAGTGCCATACCAGACCTAACAAAAAGGATGACTCTTTAACTCTGTAAACTAAATTAGAACAAGTTAGCTATATTCCAGAAACTGCAAAAGCAGTATCAATATTGTTTTGCAGTATCAGTATTGTGACTGGCAAGGGACTCCACAAGAGAGATCAACGAGATCAGTCAGATTGGAACAATAAGATAAAAATCAACTTTCAAAATAATTCAAAAACCAATAAAAGGAAAAAAAATAAATATATGGTACCAACATACTTCATAAGATCTCTTATTAAAGTACAATAAATTGAAATGTAAAAAATAAAATGTAAGAATCATAATAAAAATAATAGAGAAAATTTTGTTAACATATATGAAGTATGAACACTACCAAAAGATCATATTTCAAGATTTAAAACAAAATATAAAAACAAAAAGAGTTTTAGAAGATAAGTAGCAGCTAAAATGAGACGAAGAATTGTACGTATGGCTAAATACAGAACTTATTATAGTTTTTTTAACTAGTAAGCTACTAATTATGGAATGGACAGAAAAGATATTTTCCAAATTGATAAAGCTAAAGAAAGAAAAGGAGACAAAATTTAAGTTTCATTAGGTATACAAAGAATGAAGCTTAAATATATTATCAAGCATACAAATACTATAGGATAAAGAAAAAGATAATTTCACAAATTATTGAATAGAAATTAATAAAAAGATTGGCTTTAGAGATATACAATACTAGCGAGTTAAAAAATCATAGATTACGTCTTAAAATTTAATAGAAGTGAATGAAAGAAAAATAATAGGTAATCATGTGAAGTTTGGTCTAACAAAGGAATGTCGTTTCACGTACCAGACCCATATCATTCCCGGGTCGGACCGATATCTACTAGTCGATACCGATGTACAACCACATGGTACACCAGTACATATAACGGTATTCCAAAGACAAAGAAGGAGAAGAAGAAGGCACAATAGAGGAAGAGGAGGAACAAGATGAGGAAGGAAGAGGAGAAAGAAGAGGTGGAAGGAAGAGTAAGAAGAAGAGGATAAAGAAGAGTAAGCGATGGAAGAAGAGGAAGGAACATAAAGCGATGAAAGAAGAGAAGGAAGAGGAAGCACGGAAGAAAAGTTGGAAAGAAGAGGAAGCGACGGAAGAAGAGGAGGAAGGAAGAGGAAGCGTTAGAAGATCAAAAAGAACAGGAAGCGACAAAAGAAGAGGAAGGAAGAGGAAGTGATGGAAGAAGAGGAGGATGGAAGAAGAAGCAACGAAAGAAGAGAAGGAAGAGGAAGCGATAGAAGAGGATGTGATAGAAGATGAGGAAGGAAGAAGAAGCGACAGAAGATGAGGAGGAATAAGAAGCAACGAAAGATGAGGAGGAAGGAAAAGGAAGCAATGGACGAAGAGGAGGAAGGACAAGAAGCGATGGAAGAGGAGGAGGGAAGAGGAAGTGATGGAAGAAGAAAGAGGAAGCGATGGAAGAAGCAAACGTGGTGGAAGAGGAAAAAGGAGAGGACACGGTGGAAAAAGAGGAAAGATGAAGAGAAGAGGAGAGCGAACAGCGACACGTGGCAGCATGAGACGAAAGGCCTCATGTTTGGACAAAGAGAGCATGCAAGCACAAGCCCTAAAGTGTGTTTATTGTTTTTTCCTTTCTAGATGGCTTAGACCATTTCATTCGAAACAAGGGCGATCCACGTACTGGTTCATGCCCGATGAATACGCACTGCCTGCATATAACCGGTCCAAATGAAATGTCAAACACGGAGTATAATCACTATTAAAAGATCATATTTCAAGATTTGACAAAATTATAAAAACAAGAAGAGTTTTAAAAGATATGCAATAGCTAAAAAGAGGCAAAAAAATTTATAAGCATTGCAAAATACAAATTATCAGTTTTCCTAGTAATCTAGTAACTAAGTATTGGTAAAAAAAAAAAAAAATTTTAATTACTAAAACTAAAGAAAAAAAGAGCAAATATTTAAGTTACATTAGGAGTAAGATAAGAAGTATTATCAATAATATAAGTATCATGGAATTTTAAAAAAATATATTTACACAAATTGTTGAATACACTTAAGGAATGTTGTTTCACTCAGATCGATATGAGATGGGCGATAGATATCGGTCTGAGTGTCAACTAGTATGCGGACCGTCCTAGTATGATCTGCCATATAAAAGGGCAACCCCGATCACTTCCACTTCTCAAGCACGCCACCTTTTCTTCTCAGGCAATCGTGATCGATGCCTCAGCTTCACACCATAACTTCTCACAATGATCGATGCCTCTGATTCTCACCGTGACTTTTCACCACAAGTTCTTGCTAATCATAAGTGCTCTGCAAGTCAATCACGTAAGTGATGACAGGTGTGACATGACACACTCTTTTTTCTTATTATATTATTTGACATTTTATCACTTCATATTGGTTGTTGCATGAATATATATATTGTGATATCCATGGATCTATGCAATGAGAATCGGATCATGATGAGATCACGATAATGAGACCGATTCGCCTTTAAACATAAACCCTAAATAATCCCGGTCATAGGTTACTCGAGAGGGGCATCGAAATAACTGGACAGATTGGTGTACTATATACCCGTCCATATAATGGAGACAGTTGGCCTCATAGCTGTTCGTGTGGGGACACTAGGGATACAGTGCAGGTGCTCATTAGAGAATGAGTTCACTGATTGATCCGCTCACGGAATGTTAGATGGTTAATAATGTCTTATTGTCAAACAGCGATTTCGTAGTCCCAATGGTGTATTTGGTCCTTAGACTTAAGACACCAAGAATGTCCTGTACGAGTACTCCACTCTTTGATACCGGACTTATAGGCTTGAAAATTCCAGATCTAGCATAACCGATCATCGAGAGTGGTAGCCAACCTTATGAGGGCTATTGAGTGTCAATAGAGGATCATCCGCTCTCGGTGTCATAAGAGAAATATCTCATGTATTCTCGCTCAGACAAATCCCTAGCCAGGGTCATTCGGATTGAGAGAGAGAGTTCTCCGGGAAAATTCGATTAGTGCGAGACTCGAATAGAAACCATATGGGGCCTGATAGCACTATGCCCGGTATATGATCTTTAGAGTATTAGATGGATGAGGGACTATAGATACACGGTAATTGAGGACAAACAAGTCCAATGGATTTGATTCCCCTGTATCGTCTGAAGACTGCAGCGCGGTGGCCTAATACATCCGCGGTCGATGAGTCGAGTGAATTATTATAGAGATAATAATTCACTGAGCCAGAAAGAGTTCTGATAGGTATGACTCACGGACAGCTCGATATTGGGCCTAGAGGGTCACATACATATGGTAGGTGTTGCAACGAGTAGAGGTTCAGATATGAGATATCCGTTGGAACCCATATTTTATTCGATATCCAATAAGCCCCTGAATTATTAGATCCTATGGATGAGATCCAATAAGAGCCAATGAGAGATTATTGGGTAGAGACCTACTAATCTAAGTAGCATGGGTAGTTGGATGGAGATCCAGTACCCAATATAGCAGGAACCATTAGGGTAAGTTGATAAGGAGCCTCTATAAATAGGAGGGAACTAATGCGCCATGGGCTAGGTTCTTTTTGGCTACCACCTCCTATTATTCTTTCTCCCTCTCCTCCTCATACTGCAGCCCCTATTTGGGGCGTGTTGTCAAGGACAAAGTTCTAAACAGGATGTTTGATGTAATACTTATATATGTCCGTGTCTTTTGGTATTTTCATGCTTTGCACAGTATGTAGAGGGACGGCCGAAGGCTTAATAGTCCTATTTTAGTTGGGTTTGGTGGCCGCTTTAGGCTTATAAATAAAGGTTGTGTCATGTGGATACTTGTGAGAGATTTTCGATCTGTAGTGAACCATTTTGATCCTTTGTTGTGCAACTGTTCAGAGCTTGTAAAGTTTGTTTGTAATTTGCATTGTCTATGAAGTGTTTGAATGTTTGCTTGTGGATCCCGAGTGATGCGCTTTCTCTAACCCGTTTTCTCTTTTATAGGTCCTAAGGGACCATGGGAGGTTTCGAGGAGGTT